AGTACGTGCTCTCTCGTGTTGTTATTCAATGCATGCTCTCTTCACAATCGAGCGCGGTTATAACAAGTTTACCTTTTAATATTGTAATGTTTTTAAAATACGCCATTACATTCGTTTTTTCTTGTAAACGTTGATACGCTTTGTACCGATTCACTTGTTACTACGCGTCTTGTTTATAAGATTTTTAAAAGAAACAGTATTGTCTAGGACTGACCCAATATTAGCAAATGTAAACATTTGATAATAGCCGAACAGAGAAATGTCTATAAGTATAGAGGAAATTTCAGTCATTGGTTTATCTGGATTTAGTACATATAATTCGTATTCGGTAGCGTGCAAACCGGAAAAACATTAACATACTAATTTAAATTTATAATCAGAGTGTGGACGATATATAAGTGTGTAATTTTTAAATAATAAAGTTGTTGTAGTGTGACTGTTTTCTAAGCTGTTCCGAAACGCGACATTTGGTAGCAGGAAATGGTTGTAGAGTAATAAGCGAGAAATGATGGAAAATGTGGACGAATTGGACGGAAACTCACAGTTAAATTTGCCTAGTGTAAACATATCCAGAACGTCTGATTATGCAACGAATGAAATTGGTGGCGAATCAAGCGATAATTCGACACTGGTCGAAATGCTTACTGAAATAAAACGGCTTATGGATGAAAATCATCAAAGTTACCATGCTGATATACAACAAATTTTAGAGGAAAACAATAATTTGAAGCAGAGAGTTAAAGAAACGGAATTCCAAACAGCAGACACTCAGACACGCCTCGTTGACTTTGAAACCCGACTTATAACAGTTGAAGATAGCGTGGCAGGTTTAGGCAAAGTGCTTACAGAACTAAGGCCTGCATTGAACGAAAGTTTTGTTGAGAAACTTAATAAGCGAACGGACGAAATTCGTGATGAATCTCGGCGATATTTCGTAGAGAACTTTTCAAAGTTATTATCGGCGCTAGAATCCCTTGAAAAGCATGTTGAATACATTGAAGTTGATTTGCAATTCCTAATAGAAGAATCAAACAAAAGGGGCGCTGGCGTGGAACGACGTAAACAATCAACCCCGATATCCCTTATCCCACGCGAAGACAAATTTGATGATGGAGTACAATCGGACGGAAAAAATTCATTGGGCAACTCAAACCTCTCTAAGCGAAAGTTACCTACATCACCAGTAAGTCATAATGTACCTACGTCAAAACCAGTGAAGGAACCCCCGAAATTCGACGGCAAAAGTTCCTGGGAAGCTTTCCTCGCGCAGTTTGAAATTGTTGCTCGGATGAATGGTTGGGACGATGATCAGAAAGCTCTGTTCCTAGCCAGGGCCGTAGGAAGCTGTTTTCGATTGGGGGGGCTGAAAGCGAGGGCCGAAGGCCCGAGGAAATTTTTAAATTTAGAGTCTCTAAAATGCCATTTCCTGGACTTTGGGGGAAGATTTAACAGAATTCTGATAGTCAGAAAAC